TTGCGATATTTTTACCTTGTTAGATCTAATGGAGTATCGGGAGTTTGGTCGATCGATACCTTCGGCGATTAGTGATTTAGTGCCTTTTATTATATTCGAGGCAAGTCTTGTGTTACCTTATTAGATCTACTGGAGTATCGGGAGTTTGGTCGATCGATACCTTCGGCGATTAGTGATTTAGTGCCTTTTATTATATTCGAGGCAAGTCTTGTGTTACCTTATTAGATCTACTGGAGTATCGGGACTTTGGTCGATCGATACCTTGGGCGATTAGTGATTTAGTGCCTTCTGTTATATTCGAGGCAAGTCTTGTTTTACCTTGTTCGATCTACTTTATAAACAATAAACATAATCCAGCGAGTAGTAAGAAAATTTTATTCATACCAAGCTCCAAAAGTTCTCGACTTAACCATGATTCATTTTTTTTCTAGTAATCTTATTTTTCATTCTACACTTATTATCATTTATACAATTTCCAATGTTTATGGCTTAATGTATGAAAATAACTAGCCCAATTTTGTTTCTTTCAATGTTAAACGTTTCATTAACACTTTTGAACTTTACTAAAATTCTTTCATACCTTTCTTAAAGTCCACGATACAGTAATCACCTGTCAATTCATCTCGTCTCCAGTCCCATAAACGAAGAACACTTCGAGTGGGGTAGCTAAAGATCGCTTCTCGAACTCCTGCGCTATAGTCCACGCAGAAAATGCACGCCCCCCCGCGACCATATCGTTCACCACCGGGCCCCCATGGGCCCAGTGAAATCGGCGATCTCGAAAATCTGTACCTCGAATAACATTTCCATCGCGTTAGCATAAAATTATCCTGGGACCACCGGGTTCATTAGCAAGTCAAATGAACGTGGCACGGATTGAGCACCACTGGACACCGGGGCCCGTGGTCCCCTCGGCCAGCAAAGGGGGAACGGAACCTCACGGACCGGGCGCGGGCAGATGAGCCCGCCTCCTCGGTAAACCGGGGCTAAACTGTAATAAAGTGCGGGTACGCGTTTATCCACCTAACCTTTTTGGGGACCCTCCCGTTATCTGATTCACGGGGACCGACGCACGGTGCTTCACCTGTGAACGACATATGGTCATCATTGTCCCCTTTCGACGACAGTGTGACCACTTTCGCGTTAATTTGTCGATGAGATAGCGCGAACCACCGCGGGCACATCACGAAAAATGACCAGGTTAATGATCGTCAACGGTCCCAACGGTCCCCGACCACTTCCGCGGGGCACGTTGCTCGCGGGTTATGAGGAACATCTTGAAATTTATGGGTATTTAATCGATGTCACCCCGACGTGACGTCGTAATTCTTGTCGAAGTGTTTTATATCGGCGCGTTAAATGATTTCGGACGCTAGGAACGATGATCGGCAACGATTTCAACGGGCCCATAGCTTCTGTGGAGACGTTGCTCGAGGGTTATTGAGGAACATCTTTAAATTTATGGGTATTTCATCGATATCGCCCCGAATGTAATATCGTAATTCTCGCCGAAGAGTTTTAGATCGATGAGTGACTAGACTGCGGATTTTTATGTAAAATGACACTTTCGAAAGTAATTTATAAAGATACGAACAAACGGAGGAATTTATTTTGCCTGTGAAGTATTTTATTGGATTAAGAATAAAATAGAAAACTCTTTGCATCCAATGAAAGTCTTGTATTTCATTGTATTTCATGGAGCTCTAGAGGCTATAATTGCATAAAATCTGCAGTATAGTGATTGACGGTGTAATGGTCTCAGCTTCTGCGGAGACATTGCTTGCTGGTTATGAGGGACATCTTTCAATTATAGGGGATTTTAATCGATATCACTCCAACGTGATATCGTAATTCTTGCTGAAGATTTTTAGATCGATGGGCTAAGTGATTTCGATTGCCATCGAGTTAACGATCCACGACCGTCTCAATGGACCCATAGCTTCTAGAGAGATGTCTCCCACGAGTTACGAGGACCATGTCTAACACGTTTACTGCCAAGGTGATTATCCGTGACGGGATCCATTAAATTATGCAAAGAAATATTCAATTTCTAAACATGAGCATGCAGAATCCCGTAAATCTATTTATAATACGTAATAAATATAATAATTTCCAGTGAAGTAATAATGAAACTAACGAGTGTTCAATACAACGCGTAAATACTTGTATCGTTAATAGCAAAGACAGAGATAAATGTATTTTAGTACGATATAATTAGAACATTAAGACATGCGACAGTAAACGTGTTAACTCGTTAAACGCCGTGTCGATTATCCATGACTGACACGGCGTGCAATTTATGTAAGTAATATCCTAGTATTTAAAAATAAAGATGGTAAAATTATGAAAAAAGTAGATGTGTAAAATTTTTTGGTATTATTAACACTAGCATTGAATGTATACTAAATTAAATTATATAATTTAATAATATACGTAATGTACAATTTAACATAATATAGTGTCACTTACGATTCATAGGAAATTAAAAGTCAATACAAAGTCCGTCCAAAGCACTATTACGATTTTAGTAATCGGAAAATAAGAAAGCTGCAATCCGACATTTTGATCGATTTGGTAGTTCTAGTGTTGACGGATATAATACAAATATGTCGAGATGAGGTTTTTTGTCAGAATTATCACAGTATCTTGTTACTTTTGTAACTCAATTTCTAGCACTTTTATTTCGAAATCGATTTGTATTGTTGTCGTAACCTTTTGTTTGTAAATTTCTTAATGTCAGATATTCTTCCACTTCTTTTTTGTGATTACTGACGTAATTTTCAATGTTTATTTCTACTTGTATTACTAATTAGTAGTATCATTCTATTATATAGCGTGAGCGGAAAGATGAACAATAATTGAAATAATTATTGTGCAAATGTTTATAATCAGTGCACCGATTTGATATAAATACGTTCGAATGAATGTAAAAACATATCCAGGCATACCAGGACTCCTGGTGTTTATGTCTAACATCCGCCGTTACAAGAAATCTAATAACCGTTCCGGATGCTACAATAAAATAAAACTTATTTCATTAATTAAGAGATTTATTAAGTTAAAAAGATATTGAAAAGTCAATTGCCCTCAGTAATTAGAATTGCAAGAATTCACGAGCTGCAAATACACGAATCCTCCATACAATATTTATTTAAATACCCACTTGCAAGGGAATGGTGTAAGATTTCGCAGATGCCAGGTTCGACATTCTGTAGACACAAAGCGATCCTTATCTGGATCACTGGCAAAGAAATCAGAAATCGCGTGTATGCTTAGCCAGAGATCGATCTTATCGTGCCTTAATTATCGACAAAAAGGAACAACGATCGAGCGAAAAAGCTATCGTACGAAGAAGACATCGGCCGGTTACAATTGATGGAACTCGAAGTACGTCATTGAATCGATAGCATCGTGTCATATCCGACCGTGGATCGCAAGCATCAACGTTTAGGTTTCGGAAATTGCCCGCGATACAGATCACCCCTGTCGGTGAACGTCAGGTGGCCCGCAACATTGTTTCGATCCAAAAATATTGTCCTCGTGCTTGTTATAACCTCTACTTTATTCGAACGTTCCAACGATTCACCAAATACAACTTTCTTAATTGCTACCCGGGGACCGATGTAGACGGTAGATACGTCGGTGGTTCGAGAAATACGAGAAAAAAAAATGTACGAAACACGGTGCAACAATCTCTTGGGAGTTACACGAAGCCTGCACGTTTTTTCTGTCATCCCGCTATTGAATTTGTAAATTATTCATTCGGTTTCGCGACCAATTAAACGAAAGTTCGAATTTTATCTTACTTTACTATGTACCTGTTATTATTTTTTGGTCAACGATGTAGAAATTTGGATTGGAAACTGATGAAGACAGATTTTAGTAAGAGACAAACGAAACTTTATCAAAGTAGTAAGGAACGAAATAAGTATCTATTATTAGAGATGGGATAAAGTTCATTATAAGTAGGTTCGAATCTAACTGGATAGTTTCGAATTTTTCATAAATACTTCCAAAAAGGATAGCAATACTTTTAAGTAGACTCGAATCTAGATAAAAGAAGTTCGAACCAAGTATACTCGAACCCTGTCCGAGTAGATTCGAACCTTTTATGAGTTCTTCGATCAAAAGTTCTCTATTCCTTGCAATTGTATATGCTTTAGCAAAAATATATATAAACGATCCAAATTACATTTATTTATGCGACAACAATAATGCATGAAAGAAATCTTTCATGGTTAATGATAAGTTAATGTGAGTTTTTTTTAAGAATAAAGAAAATTTGTTTTTGACTATTTGAGCTGATAAATTTTTATTCTGGGCCCCTGTGTAATTTATCAACAAACACTTCGATTACAAATTATAATCATTAAATGTATGCAACAGGCTTAAAAACATGATGTATCAATTCCTTCCTTGATCTTGGTGTCAAGGTAAATGAATATGTCTCATATCGATAAGCCGGGAGATCAAAAACCCTAGCAGTTTACCAGTTAATACCTATAGTGCCCTCCTTAGCTTAATTGTCGTAACTGATTGCAGACATCCGAAAAAAATGAGGTTTTATAATTGTCTTTGTGTCGTCCTTGTCTTTCATCGTAAGCCATTTTAATATAGAAAACATTTTAAATCGTATTTATTTTATTTTTTTGACACGTACCTTGAATATAAATAATCGAGGCATAAACATAAGTCCTGGGATGATTTAAGTTAGTAGATGTTACATAGAACAATATAAACTATTACTCATTTGAAAGCTAACGCAAAAAGGACGCATTCTAGCTTCAATTAAAAAGTGAAAAGCACATAGGGCTCCAAATATTTCGAAAAAATCTTGCGAACCGATAATTTGTCAGTTTGGACATTTCAAATAAGGAGGCCAGTATGGGTATTCCGTTGATTCCGAATAAGTTCTAGGCCGATCTGGGTACACGTGTGTTGATGTTTCGAATTAAGCTTTCCGCCCAACGGTCACTTGCAACTGCTTTTTACTTTTGCAGCAAGTGGCCACGCCCACAGTTGTTAAAAAGATTCTACGAATGAAGCAGGAACAGCCGACGATGTTCGCCTGGGAGATCCGGGAGCAGCTAGCCCGGCAGGGAGCCTGCGATCCTCAAAGCTTGCCCTCCGTGTCCTCCGTGAATCGGATTCTTCGGGGCGGAGGGCTTCACGCAGATCACGCGGGCATCGAGAGCAGTCCCTCCAACACCTACGCCTCGCAAGTCTCGTCGAACGTCGCTAACAGAGGTAAACAAAAAAAAATTAAAACGTATTATCTCACGATTGTCGACCGAATCGTTTTCACTATACGATGAGGGGTCACGCGTCGCAGGTTACCGTAAAATTGTTCTCCAAATATCGTAGTAGGTTCCGTAACGATTCCGAGGTGCCAGCTGGCTCAAGAATTCCCGAATCGAGGCTCCGAAATCGGTTCTCATTTCGGCGGATTCTCTCATGCGGGTGTACAGAGTGTTCACGCTATTACTAGCCAGCGTTTTTCTTGCAAATAGTAAATATTATAAAAAAATGAAAGATGGAAAAGTAATACTGTTTTTTGCAAACGACATAATAGCGTATATAATTTATTTGTTTTTGCATTAATATTTTTGGGACTGAAGGTGACCTTGAATTTTTGACACCTTCAAGTGTGTCAAGACGAATTCATTCGTATACGACATAATAACCTTCAAGGTCATACAAGGACAGAAATGAAAGAAACATTTTGAATATTTCATACCGATATGTTAGAGTGAGAACGCAAACACTTTACCTCGCCTTCTTTTCGCGGACGAACAGTACAAAGTATTTCTTATTGATACGAATTAGATGAAGTTGTTATTCACTATCAGAATATTTACTTCTGTTTCCACTAAAACAAGACAATTTCAATATTACTTGTTTGTACAAAATATACAAAATGTTTCTTCCATTTCTGACCCTGTACAGCCTTGAAGGCCATTGTGTCGTATAGGAATGAATTCATTCTGTCGCAATCTTTCCTATGATACAAAAAATATACATACCTTCTACTTAAAAAATTGGTCACCTTCATTTCTAAAAAAAATTGTGCAATAACAAAAAACTTACATATCTACTCCATTGCGTTGCTTGCAGAAAACAGTATTACTTTTTAAAAACCCTGGCTAGTAATAGTATGAACACCCCGTATACGCATACGCTCTCGCGTCGAGCAGTCTACGTCTTCTCCGAGCTTCGTGAGTCATTATACGGCGAAAAGCTGCGCCGCGAGTGCGCCATTACCGGGCTAATGATCCCCTAAACATCTGTCCGTATCGTGAATTCGTTGGCGGAATTTTTTTTCCCCATTGTTTTGTCGGTTTCAACCGTACCCCAAACGACTCGTGTACCCCATAGACGTGAAACGGACAGGAAAGAAAAGAATGCCTAAACGTCGCCGGAGATGCAACAATCGGGATCGCCGAGAACGATGGAACGGGAATGGGGAGGGGGGCACGAAGAAGGTGATGGCGTGCTAGAAGAGGCGGCGGGATGAAGCAGAGGAACGAAGGAATTCGAAAATACCCTGTGGCCGATTGACTCGTCAGCGAGCTGCCGCGAGATGATCGACACGCAACCCCTTGAACGAACATGGAGCGCTCGCCTCACAATTCACCTCGTTTATTCTGTAAATCGGCCTCGAACTTTGCTCGCTTTTTTTCGATCGTGGCGAGACTGTGTCACGATATCGACGTCGACCGAATGAAATCGAAGAAAATAACTGGAAATGTTCTTGATAAAGAACAAAATCGAGAATAATAAAAAGTTTTTGGAATGGACGGGATCGAGAAAAGATGAGAGATTACAGTAAATCCTTGATGAGTGTTCGGAGGCTGCGTGGCAATGACTAGGAGAGGGCAGAGATTTTTTTATGAGTTTTAGCACAGTGATAGGGCTGGGAATTCTGAAGGCAATAATATTTGTTTCAGTCACGTGTGGACAATAGTTTATGAAATATTTTATGTTCAGTGCCTGAGGTGTCTTCGAACACTCGTCGACGATTTACTGTACTTCTTTCCGATCGTTTATCGATTTTCATTGTTATCCCTAACACCGAATTACGTTTAAAAAGTAGATAGTATAAACGTACGAATGAATGAAAATTTGAGAGATTTGGTAACTATTATAATCGAATACTAATAAATATAAGGCTCATGAAAATTACATTTTTTAATACCTGTATCTCTTTATAACGTATACATTTCAATTTGAAGAATTAGAAATATGTAATTAATTAAATTAAAAAAGAAAAATAGAGATTTCCACCAGTAAATGAACATTTCTAATCAATGGTGCGTAAATTGATCGAATATGAAACAAAGAATTGCAAAAATATCAACATTTAATCATTAGTTAATTTTAATACCTTAATTCACTTGTTTTTATATAATAATGTTTATTTACTGGTGCATCCTCCTTATGTCAAAAAATGATCGAAATGTCTTCGTCCTCCTCCTCGTTTTTTCTCGTCCCATTCAGCCTGTCTCAATTTAGCCCGATGACCTCGAAAATGTAGACATTAAGGTTAAAGCATCATTTCGCGTGTCTCACTTTTTCGTATAATGTAGTTGTGAAATCGATAACCGGTTCTATAATGATCGGTCGGACTCGTTGGTCGTTTTAACGCCAATTTATATTGCAAAAACTGTGAAACGTTAACGGAAGCGTGTCATAAGGATTTTAGTAACGTACGACTGTGCATTTTACACTATAAAGTTTAAATCCTTAATCGGGTGTTGCATGCTTTGTTTGCAGACTCGTTAATGAGAACGGATTACCAGCTGTTTTATCCGGGTGCTCTTGGACCGTTGCATATTTCCACGACTTCCGGTAACACCGGCGCGCCATCTTGGAACCCGAGCTTTTACTCGTCCCTGTACCAAGCCACCACACTACACTTGCATCATGGAATGCAATCCTTCACGTGAGTGAATACTCGAATGAGTATTATATTTCCATACAGAAATCTGCTCACGATCTAGAATATCTAGATTATATAATACTTCCGTCTTACAGTAGATGGAGATCCATTTTTTTTTTTTAAATACACAGTATATCTTCGATTAATGCTCGAACAGGGACACTATTTCCACAACTCATAAATTTCAGGTCGAGCCTCGGTAACTCGTCTCTGTATTTCGCGGACAGCTGACAAAAATTAAAAACAGTAGTGGGTTTGAAGCAGAAGCATTTAGCGAGCGGGGCTGGTCGCGGTGAGTGGTCAAACGATCCCGCGGCCAGCCCTCACGCCTGAGAGGGTTACCGGGGGGTTTTTATCGGGTGAAACCATGCATTGGCCGTCGCCGCCCCCAGCGGAGGCGGTGCACCTTCATCAAGGTTCTCCCCCATCAAAAACAAGAAAATGGAGCTTTAGCGTATAGAACTTCCCGAGCATTTATCAAGAATGTACTGTATCAGGTTTGTCAACAAGTTCTGTCATTTCTTGCGAGTCACGTTTCTCTTAAAAGAACGATTTCTATGCAAAAAGAATTGACACAATTATCAAATAAGTGGAGACACAGTCGTATAAAATGGCGATTATATCCCAAATTAAAAATGAACACATATTACACATATTATAAGTTAAAAGTAGAGCAAAAAGAACGACAGAACTTTCGAGCAAGCCGAATAATGATGATTTTAAAACCCAAACATTGAAAGGAACACAATACTCATCTTCCAGATCGTTGGACATGGAGCGTCTGTCGGAACAAAATGGCGGGGCCAATCAGGTCGAGCTGAAGTCGAGCTCAAGTTCAATGGCGGGCAGCGACGATTCCCTGGACAAAAGCGACCTGGACGAGAACACGGAGCCGCAGGACCACTACAAGCCGTTCCAGAACTCGACGACCATACTGGAGCTCGGTCAGAAGATCGGTAGCGATCGCAGCGCGTTCGTCAGACATAGCATGTCCGGGTCGTCTGGAAGCTTGGAGAACGGGCAGAGCCCGCCGCCTATTGGCGATACTCAGAAGACACCGTCGCCATGTATCGTGGAGACCCGAAACGAGCGGAACACGATAGCCAAAGAGACAACGGCCGAGGTGAGGCCGGCGCCGCCGCAGAGAAAGAGGAATCCTTACTCGATAGAGGAGCTGCTTAAGAAGGACGAAAACAAGACCACCTCGAAGAGGCCGAAGCTGACGAACATCGGAGTGGTGCAACCTTGCGGGATCGTTCTCAACAAAGAGATCTGAGGGAACCTCGAGTAGATCGGGGTGGAATCAGGAGACGCTGTAATGGTCCAGCGATAGAGGCTAAGCTGATTGTCTAGATTCGGCGACAGAGATCTTCGAGAATCTCGCGAAATACTCACGGGCTGTAGGAACTCTTCGTTATAGAGATACGGGGTGATGATCGAACGTTACTCTTGCTGGGGGTGGGGGGCATGTTGGACCTTGTAACTGTGCAACGATTTCTAGATGTACCCTTACGAGTAAATTGGGCTACCGCTAGGGGGAATAGCGGCGTAGGGGAATTACACATGGTGTCGAAAATTATTGAAATTTATACTAAATTCACATTCAATGTAATAATTGTTTCGGTACTTGAAATAAATTTATCAAGTAATAGGAGGCCCTTCCTCTTTCGCTGTTTGTTTTCTTAGTGGAAGCCGAGCTTGCTCGTGAGGGTATACGGTGTATCGTCTGAGATAGGTGACCGAAACCTTCTTCAGGTATAATGGTACAGAGAATTTTCCGTATGTGATTCGATTGGTATCTTACTAGCTGCGAGCATGTATAGATATCGTTGCACGTTTCTAAGTGCAACATGCCAAGAATTGACCTGATCCTTTAGGGCGCAGAAAGTAAAAGCTAGGTTATAGAATATTCTATAATTCCGAGAGTTTACGGCATGACAGAAAGGGATAACGTGTGTTTGTGTTTGATATTTATGACTCAATATTTTTGACTCACATCACGCGTAACTTGAGCGTGTACTTTCTGTTCTGCCATGCGTGAAAAGTGGGACAGATAGTTAAAAATGCAATATGATCTTGAGAATTGAATCTTTTTTATGCTATGTCCAGTTGAGTCGCAAATTACTGAAGAATAGGGACAATAGAAATTCGAATCACTTTACAGAACATGCAGGTTAACGCCAGGTATCCAGTATAAATTCAAAAAATCATTATAGAAAAAATACAATGTTTAATATAGTATATTGAATAGAGAAAATTGAATATTGAAATTACCAAGAATGTTGGTCGAAGAATTTGGAATTTAGTGTAAAAATGTCTACCATTGTTCCATCTGTTCTATTGACTGTTATTTTCAAGCCACATGTAAATGGAAACCTCCAAGGAGAATGAAATTACTGGTTCTGTATTATATATTTTTCTTTAATCTTGATTTTAATTTTTTTTTGTATGTTTTTTTTTTTTATAAAAAAGAAACTAATATTATGAAATACTGGTCAAATTTGTTTGGATTTACTTGATACAAGACCTTGTATCTTTTAAACACATTTGGAATGAAAGAGAAGGCATGAAGACATCAAATCGTCATAAATATCAAATACAAACTGACGAGTCAATCTCACGCAGAAGCAGAATATTGATTGACAGTATTTTCGTGTGACAGTAGTTTCTACAAAACTACTTCATTTCGAACTCGCCATTCAAAGGATTAAAGTAACATTCGACCGACTGTACGCCCCCGAAACCAATCGATGTGACGCGAAGAACGTAACATTTTAATGTAGAAGTGTAACATAATTTACCAAAAAATAAGGAACAATACTGGTTCTGTATTTATAAAGTCACTTTACAACTGGAAATACAATTACATAGTACGGCTTTATCGACGTACGAAACGTTGGCGAAAAGGACGATCGCCGCCATATTGACAGAGTGACGCGAGAGAATGCGTAAGTAAGTTATTGCGTAAATGTGAGTAAAATCAATCGTCGATCATGTATTGTTGACTGCAATATTTGTAGGTTATACGCGTAAGTCTGTTAAGCTAATTTATAACTAAATTATTATTTTTATTTCGATATCCTCGACGCTCTATCCTTGACACGTGAAGTCATTAAAATATGCGTCACGATACGATAATATGTACTACGATAGAACATATCGACACGTAGATGTTTCACCGAGCTCCCCGATGATATTAAAGATCAATTCTTGTGATCGCCGATATGAGATTCCCATGTGTTGTATATTATACTTTTCCATGTGTTGTGTGCTGTATCATTTCGTTTTGCAAGTGGGATGATGCCATATTATTATGTACGATATTTAATTTTAATAAGTCATAGGAACCTTGACGTTCTAATAAAGTGAAATGACTAAGTAACCTTGTTGAAACATTTCCTTTATTTATTTATTTATTTTATTCCGTCTTGGTAGCTAATGGTGCTTTGAAAATAAATCTGAAATTGTGTGCCATGTCTTTATTGCCATTGGAAACGTTATTGATCTACTCATCGATCGTTGAATAACTTTGATTAGATGAAAGAAATACTGATGATTTTTAAAGTCGATAATTACTAGATTTTCACAATTTAATCTTCGAATCGATATTGTAATACATACTTTCGAAAACGGTTTTATAAACGTATCTAAGAATATATGAAATATTAACTGCATATATGGTGAAACTATTTCTTCTTAGTATAACAATCATTATATGTCTGAAATGTAGATGAAAGTTTGGTAATAATCATAAATTTGTATGATACAATCCAGATGAAATTAAATTCCCGAAACATATTTCGTCGTGTATAATATAATTTTGTAAATGGTAATTATAATTTATGACTTGCGTACTTTAAATTATAATTGCGTGAATGATATTATGATTATTGAAAATAAAAGTCCACTCTAAAATCTAGATGGAAGGTTACATCAGTCTGTCTATTATCATTCACTGCTATGTATATAAATCTCATGGAGAATTTTTACATTTCATCTGCTATCAAAGCTATAATTATTCACTTCTAAATTATATGTTTAAATGCATTACAATGAATAATGAAGTATTAAATTAATTCCAGTCAGTTCTGCATTCCATATTCGAACAAATGATCAATCAATTCCAATTGAATTCGAATACTAGACTTTTCGGTCTTCAAAGTGACGGACCTATTCTACTTGCAAGGAGATATGTATGTGGTGCCTCAAGTCAGGTAGTACAACTGGGCAGGTGGTGATTCTATACGAAAGAATAAGTCGAAAAAAAGAATAATATGCTTTCAGGTAATGCTTTGTGTTCGAGATAATGGAACTTTAAAATTTGTTGAATACACGGGCAGTAGAATAGGACGTGTCTAATGCGTCTGTTCATTGCATTCAGTTTCTACTTACAGCCGCGACTACACGCGCTGTAGATGAATATTCAAACCCAATTTTCTCAAAAATGAAACTTCAAAGGAAACAAATTTCTTTTCATGGAGATTCTCTCCAAAGAAACGGATCTATTAGGTGTACCAATTTTTACTTATTAATGACATCAATATTTGTATCTATATAAATCAAGAATCTGTACTGCTTCGTTTCTGCTTATAATCATTTTCTAACTTCCTGCAGCACTTTTACTCGGTAAAAATCGGGAAAATACCTTCGGTTTACAATAAAGGGTGTATACGCGAGTGTATCGCAAATGATGGACACCATTTTAAACATCGTTTTAATTAATGTAAATGACATTTTCTTGATGTTTCTTTGGTTTAGAAGAAAAAAAATGATATGTTATGATGCTTGCCGAATTCGTTTCAGTACCCATTAAAAGATGGGCGTAAAAGAATTATAGGTTCAGCTATAAAAAACTGAAGGTGACCTTAAAAACTCTGGAAAAGAAAGGTATGACAAAAAATTTGATATAATCATTTAAAAGCTCTCCTTGAACCATGTTATATTATCTAAAAAATAGTCGATATTACAGCTAACAGTAGAATAATCTAATCTGATCGCGTTTCGTGGTCCACCCTATACATATATCACCTCATAATTAACACGAAAAGAAATCCTGGGTTACTTACAGTCGACCTAAGCATAGTCCATTTGTGCCCAGGTTTGTCGCCAGTAACCAATGCAAGCGGTTTAATGCGACCCTAAACTTCCAAGTGAAAAACGAAAGAAATAACACGGGCAATGTAAGTCAAAATTTAATATATCTCCTTGCTTTTCATCCAACAGAAATGTCGCAGTATTTCCAAGGATTAGTTGAAATACCACACGTCTTTAGTTACCTCGGACATAAATCGCTTACAGCTTGATTCCTTCCGACAAGCGGACCTCGGTCCGACGATGGGACACGAAAGTCTTCAGACGGCGCGTCGTAAAGTGGTTAATCTAACGGTGGAAAGAATCGGTGGGACGCATTAAAACAAGGCTCAAGCTCATTAGAAAGCACGATCAGCCCATAACCCCGGTAAGAAAGTATGCCAAGCTCGGCTGTTACAGAACCCGCGGAGCAATTAAACGGAAAGCCTAATAAAGCGACGCCAATAAAGCACGAATCGGTGGTGGAACACCGCCCCCTTTCGGTCGTAGTAAACCCATAAACGGTTCACGGTCCAAGTGTGTTGCAAGCGGACGTGTATGTGGGCAATATACGTTGCGCGATGTACGATGTCGTAACGCGTCACACGTTGACCGCCGTGTTAAAATGGCGGAGGAAATTAAACGGCGAGCTCAGCAGCACGGCGCGAGCCCGGGTCACCTTTTGCATTTACAACGTTATAAAACTTTTTATCCGCCTCCTCATCACGAACTAATTAATGCACCATAAAACGCTAACGCCTCGCCGCACGGCGCGATTTATTCACGGTGGTGCTCGTCCAATCGAGTCCCACCGTCGCCACCAATGTCGCGAGCGCAAACAGGAAGTCGCTTGGCTGACACGACCTGTTTTGATAGGTTCGAACTTCTCGATGAAAGATTCGAACAGGTTGGAACGGTTTATGGGAAGATCGGTACTTGCATTTGCTTGTCGATTCTGACACTTTAGTCGCTGCGATCGCATCCGCCGTCGTTTAAAATTAAGTCCAATTGACGAGGTTATGAGAATAAACCTAACATCTTAGGGGAGACTCCGTGGTCCTGAAATCTATAATACTAGTAGTTTGAGAAGCCTGTGTGTAAATTGTTATTGTTTATAACAAATATAATTGAAATATACAGAAACTTTCAGGATATGGACCCTTTAATGAACTTTACATGTAATAAGTTTTACTTTATTGCAAATTA